AAACCCACCCCCAAAAACAAATAATGAAAGTATGCAATTAGCTGCACAATAGAATGGGCACACCACTATATGCATTGGCACGCGCTTCTCCTGAGCACGCACTATATGTGTCCCCAAATGCAGTTAAAAGAGGGGCAAGGGGTTCATTACCCCCTGGATGTGATGGAGTATAATTCCTAAGTGAAAAAGCAGCAAGTGATTCATATACTAAAGCCTAAATGAATCCTCAACCTATTCTGCTCTATTTGTCTATTAAGACAAATTATTGAGTATTAGAGTGAAATGACCCCAAATGATTCATTAGTCATTTTTGAAGACAAATTATTGAGTATTAGAATAAAATGACCCCACTGAATTCCGAACAAATATAGATTATTCATATCATTTCCATTGGCGAAGCCAGGATTTTATATAAAGAGATTCAAAAGAGTTAGAATGTGGCAGTTGGGATTTGAACCTGAAACCTAAAGCAACTTTATTGCTACACTAAAAAAATTCCCAATGTCAAGGGGATTCAACAACTTATATATAATTAAAAAAAATCATTGAAGTTGAATCCCCTTCCATCCACCTAGTTCAACCACTAATTCGTCACTCCAACTAATATCGTAGTCGCCATCCTACTATAGATAACTCTAAGGGAATCTGTTAGTATATCAGTTAAAGCCCAACAAAAATTACTCTTTTTAAGACAAATTATTGAGACTACCCCCAATTGATCCATTTTTCAATTTATTGAGTATTCATATAGTCGCCCCCCAACTAGTACAGGCACAGTAATAGTTGTTTGATGTACACTATAAATAACTCCAAAGGAAGCTATTAATTGAGATAAAAATATACCCTTTTCAATTCCCTTTTGCGTTGTTCCTTGCGATAAGCGTCGGTAGGGTTCATGACTTTGCCTCCTTTCGTCGTCTTCATTTTGCGCTGCTGCTTTTTCTATCACTATTCTGCGTTATTGAAACTCGCTGTGATAATTCGGTTCCCGAGGCTAAACTCAGGGGCCGGAGGGTAGAGAATTCCGGTGGGTCTCTTCGGTGATTACCTAAATTATGGTTATGCGGACCCGGTTTTGATGATGGCTCTACTTGGATTTTATATTCCGGGTCCTTTCCTCCTCTTTAATAGTACTAGTAATAGTAACTAGTTATTTAATAATTTCACTTTTATTTTCTTTTGACAGAAAAAAAAAAAGAGTGAGTTTTTAATGAAAGCTTCTAGTATTAGGGAATAAGACAATTTCACTAACAAAGTGGATGAGATTGCTCCTCCCTTAATCAGAGGTCTTGGGTTCGGACCCTGGGTTTAGAAAAATTCTTGATAGGGGTGGAATCCTAAATCACTATTTGTTTAAGTTTCCTTATTCCTCAACGACGAAAAATTAATTAAAATTTTATTATTAAAGTTTAAGATATTATTTATTACAAACCCAAAGGAACTAATGTGTTGCTTTACTTTTTTTTACGCAAAAACAACGTTGAAATTTGTGCTCCATAATTAAAATAAAAATACTCTTTTGTGGTTGAAAAGAAAGTACTCTTTCTACAACATAAAAAGAAAGTACTCATTTTGTTAAAAATGAAAGAAAATACTTTTTTTACATCATAAAAAGAATAGTCATTTTGTTGCAATAAAAGAAAGTACTTTTTCTACATCATAAAAGAAAATACTATTTTTGTTGAAATAAAATAAAATATTTTTTACTCCATTATTTTGTTGGAATAAAAAACATACTTTTTCTACATCATGAAAAGAAAGTACTTTTTTGTTAAAATGAAAAAATATACTTTTTGATAATATCATTTGTTAGGAAAAAAAAGTACTCTATCTGCAACATGAAAAGAAAGTACTATTAATAATATTTCAATTTAGGATGGGGTGAGGGTGGGAGTTA